GATACGTAGTTACATTGGTGAGTATTGTTAGGTTGAATGTAACTGGTCGATATATTTAAGTCTGTGATGAGTAGATTATATGCCGGCTTGATAAGTCCTTCCTTAGTTTTTACTTTTGTTTACATTTATTTTCTGTTGATAACATTTTCTTTATAAACCCATTTATACCCAAACTCATTAACGAGAGATTTGTCGAACGACAATTTAATAACCAATATTTGTGCACACAATAAATTCCCGAATAAATATTTCCCAAACTTTTTTTGCTTGCCGCTACACTGCTTCCAACAAAGTTGAGATAATGTTCAAGTCGTCCATAAATCCCCATGGAGCAGTTTCCACGGAATCATCTCTACAAAGCTATCTGCACAAGCTCATCTTCAACGGAGATACATTCCCCAGCAAGCCTAAATATGTAAGTCAGAACGAAACTGGGGTATCTTCCAGCAGTTCATTTCCATATCTCTGATCGATAGCTTAACAGGACCATCTTCCCCAAGAGGTTCCCCAGCAAATAGGAAGATCTGATTATTCCCCCCAGTATACGGTGAAAACTTCCTCAACACAGCCCATGAAATACTAATCCACGACAAAAATGATTTCTTAACACGGTTTATAGGAATTTCATTCCCTAGCGAAGTTTATTTCTACAACACCATGAAATCCTCTCCTTCCCTTCAGCAGGGTCTAACCAAAGTTGCTATCCCCAGAGAATTTTCTACAATGCCTAAAACTTGGTCTGATAGCATCCATCTCTCTTTTCCCCGATCAGGATATGCAAAAATCAATTTTTTCAAAGAACAGTGAGCAACCAACTCTCTTTGATTATCCTCAAGCAGAAGTTGAAGATCCCTAGTGAAGTATCCTTAAACAGAAGACAAAAATCTCCAGCAAAATTATTCCCAGAAGAAATTGAAGAATTACTTTCTTTATATCCAGCGACAGTCAAGGATTTATTGTCCCCAGCAAGACGCTGTTATAAGAAGCTACCAATGCTCTCCAACGACATGTCGCATCCATATATCATTTACAATATCATAACATATACATACAAAATGCATGCAACATTCTTATTTATCTTGAGAGCATCATTACGTAATGCATACATCATGACATTGCATAAAGCTAACTTTGTCTTTTCAGGATAAATCCGCAAACAGACGAATATTATCAATAATTTACAGACAGGATGTAGATCAATTCCCGAAACTGGAAGGGGCGACTATCTACATAACCAACATTTTCATAGAATCAGGTGTAGATTCCTTCTAATTCTCTTTTGGACAAAGTTGGGCGTAGAATCATTCCAAATGCATTTACTAGACAAAATAGGATGTAGACTCATTCTAGTGCATCATTCATATGAAGTCAGGTGTAGATTTCCTTTTGAAATTCTTTTGGGAAAAAATTCAGGCGTAGACTCCTTCCAATACCTCTTCTAGATGAAGTCGGGCGTAGACAGCTTCTAGTGCGTCATTAAGATGAAATCAAGCGTAGATCCATTCTGATACTCTTTTGGAAAAAAAGTCAGGCGTAGACTCCTTCTAATATCTCTTATAGATAAATTTGGGCGTAGACATCTTCTAGATGAAATCAAGCATAAATTTCCTTCTGATATTCTTTTGGACAAAGTTGGGCGTAGACTCATTCCAAATGCATCTGCTAGACAAAGTCAGGCGTAGACTCATTCTAGTGCATCATTCAGATGAAGTCAAATGTATATTTCCTTCTTAAACTCTTTTGGAAAAATAGTCAGGCGTAGACTCCTTCCAATATCTCTTCTAGATGAAGTCGGGCGTAGACATCTTCTAGATGAAATCAGACGTAGATTTCACTATGATTATTATTTTGGATAAACTCAGGCATAGACTCATGCCCGTACATCTTCTAGACAAAGTCGGGCATATACTCATTCTAGTGCATCGTTTATATAAAATCAAGCGTAGATTCACTCTGATATTCTTTTGGACAAAGTTAGGTGTAGACTCGTTCTGATATTCCTATCAATAAGTTACTTAGGATGGCATCTATAAGCCCATCTCCGACGAAATCCCGTCACTATCCAAATGGCATCTTTAATATCATTCCCGTTACAATCAATTAACAATTTTACTTCATGCACATGCGAGTGAAAATTTCTGGGCACTTAAGTGTTTAATCCTCTTCCACCTTCAGACCACGAATGGAAAGTATGCCAATCTAACCCTTCAGATTTAAGAAGATTGAACAGGGGAAACTGTTGTAACCCAAAATTTTACCTCTCATTTTCAAATCAAATTATTTCGAGAGGTCTCCTCATCTTCCTAGGGTTCTCAATTGTTCAAGATTACTCAAGGAATTGATCAGGCAAGTCTTCTCCTAAGCATTTAGCCTACAACTAGGGTTTTGTATTTTCTCAAAGAAAATTGGACTTCTAATGCCTCAAATGGAATTCATGGTAACCCACATGCTTCAAATAATCCTCATGTCTTATTTCAAGCCTTGCATCACAAGTTTGCTCAGTCAATTGCTCAGACGATGGAAAATCAACTATATAGGGTAAAAAGTCAATTGTGGCTAATATACAGTCAAACTTCAAGATTTTTGGTCAATATCTAGATTTTAAAATCACATTCATCATTTGATCAAGGATTTATCATGATTCCTCAAGAAAAACCCTCAAATCATCAAAAGTCAAAGTTGCCAAATTAGGGTTTCCTTAGGAGAAGTCAATTGAACTTTGACCAAGCTTAACTTTCACATACTTCATCTGTTTCTTCCCAACAAGAGATCATTTTGAAGGAAATTCAATTCTCTATATCTTTGTCTCTCTAAGCTCAAGTCCAACAGTGCTTCATTTAAGAGATATAGGCCAAGACATTATAGGTCATTTCAAAAGTCAACAAAAAAACACGTTTTTGTCAAGGAAACTTACATCAAGATAAAGTATTCAAATTAAAAAATGATCAACATAGAAATTTTATAGGACATCTAGATATTTCCAAAAAGTTATATATCACCTTCAAATTATGAAATTTGAGAGAGTTATAATTGGTGCGAGTTGGGCAATTTTTAAGAAAATGCATAAAACTTTATTTGAGCAATCTTGAACTTTTGGACTTATGGGCCTAAGTTTTGAGGTTTAAAAATGTTTATAACATGTTAGAGGACATCTAAGTCCATTTATACATTACTTTGATTTTTTTATTTTGATTTTATTCAAATTAAGTCAAAAAATCAAATAAAATGAGTTGATGGACCAAAAAGCATGTGGACTTCATTTGGATATCTTCTAGAAGGCCCAAGACCTTATAAGAGATTGCTAAATCCATGAAAACATGTTGGGAACAAGAATCTTCAAGTTCAAAATGTTTTAAAACAATTTTGGAAAGATTTCAATGTGTTTTCTTTGCAATGAATTGTGACATAATGATACAAGATCATTGCCTTGTTTTGATCCATTTTCATTCCTCTATAAATACATGCAACACTCAAGTGCAAAAGACACAAAGTGGCTGCCATAGAAGCAAGGTTTCAAAATTACAAATTTTCAAAGAAAGGTGCAAACTCGTAATTTTCAGCCACTCTCAATCAAAATCAAGCCTCAAATCGTATTCCTGAAGGTCTCAGGAATCTCACCAAGTCTAGAAACAAATCTATTCACGTCTAGAATAGCTTACACAAGCCCACCGATTTTGGTAATTTTCTTGAATTCGAATCTTTTAATCTATGCATATTTAACTAATTTCGTGTACACATATGAGTTCAACGTGGTGTTTAGAACAGGAACTGAGTCATAGGAACTTGCTTAAACCCAACAACCTCGTACCTTAAGTAACAACCACTGAGCTGAATTCTCATCGTTGGCGACGTCACCGTTGGTTGTGGCGGCGAATGTTTTCTGTCCAAATGTTGATACGAGAGAAGATAAGAGCATTGTAGATTCTAGGAAGAGTGAGTTTGTAAGTTCGATAGGATTTGGAGGTGTTGCCGGTTAACGTTTGAAGCTATAGTTGGTGAGTTTGCGATATTGGAAAGGGAGATGAAAGTGGTTCAAGAGAAGTGAGAGTGTGGTCAGAGTATTTTTGCTCAGTATGTGGTTTGTTTGAATGATGGGGGTGACATTAAGTTGTTGAGAAGAGAGTTTTTAGAGGTGGTGTAAGTTGGATGTTGTAGCGGAGAAGATGAAGATGCAGATTCAATTGAACATTTGAGAATTAGAATTCTATAAATAAAATATATCTTTAAATAATTTTAATAATTAATTAAAATGAAGAAATTACATGTCAAATAATGACAAAAAATAAAAACTATGTGGCATTTAAAAAAATAAATAATTAATAAAAAAGACAACTAAATATGCCATATCATTAAAATAAATTAGAAAATAAAAAAATGTTTGTCATGTCATTTTTTCTGATGATTAGATTTCTTGAGAGATCAAAATAGAAAAATCTTTATATATTAGGAGTCGAAACCAAATTTTTTTTACAGGGTTTTTTCAAAATCCACCCATATAATAAGGTGAAATTACTATTAATCTTTAAAAAAAATCACACCAACACTTTTTTTTACAAAAAATATGATAAGAGACTAAAACTCATAAAAAGAAAAACGTACATTTAGTGTCAACCAATAAAAAATATATATTCAATCAAAACAAAATTTTATTTTTAAAAAATACTGATATGAGATATAAGATGGTTTTAGCCTCGGACAAACTTGTTTAAAACTCTTTATTTCAAAATCCTTAATATAATTTTAAATTTTGAGGGTGTCATAATTTTAATAATATTTTCAAAATATAAACTTTTGAAAGTTTACATTTCCGTATCAGTATTGAACACGTGATTATAGTTGATATAACTACAAAAACTAAATTTGTATAGGCAAGTTTCTTTTAAAATATTTATAGATTATTTCTTTGAAACCTTTAATAAAAGATATCCTCTTTATCTATTAGAGTTGGTTGATTTTGACTGAGTTTTAAAGAATCTTAATGATATGATTCTAGATTTTAATTAACATTCTGAAATAGTCTCTAGCATCGGTTTCCAGTGACTAATGCCGTGATGCTTATTTGCAATTTCATAGTCTTTTGCTTTAATTAACCGATAAAGAACTTCTTCTGCAGAACTTAATTCCTTCTTGTTCATCTTCGCCTGCTTCTGCGGCCGATGATTATTATTATTATTCTGTTGTAAGGCTCCTAATAACTCAGCTAACTCGCACTTTGAAATCTTGAAGGTGACCTTACCATTTGCATCACAAGAATCTCTAAGCTTTTCTAATACATCATTCTCTTTATTCTGATAATGATCAAGATAAACAGCTTCGTCAAACACCTTAATTGATGATGATGATGATGATGAAGAACATGACTTTGGCTTCTTCAAAGATTTCCATTCCATTGACGATGCTACCATACAAGAGTTTCCCATTTTTTTTAGATGAATAGTTAATTTCAAATATTATTTTCTACGAAAATTCAGCGATTATGTTTGTTTGTTTAATTAAGTTTTAGAAGAGTTAATGTGATGAAGGTTTGTAATGAGAGAAAGATATTTATAAAGATGAGGTGTGAGAAGATTAATATTTGGTCGCGACGGCAACAAGATTGGGTCTAATGTCATATGGTCGTTCGTTCGTGTGCATGGCAGACGTAAGGGTGTAATTTGTTGACCATTAAACCAATGTATACTATACGATGAATCTTGGTTGATTTGATTGTCTGAAATGGCAGGGGTGGCCAACATTTCAAATTTTTCTTTTTTTGATAAATATGAAACAATTATATGCCATTATAAATATTTTGTTTTGTAAATTAAGATGATATTGGAAGTGGCGTAGTTACAAGTATCCTTCATTTTAAATAAAGGTGGTGTGTTCGATTCAGATGACATTTGACAACGAAATTAAATAAGAAAATTTCATTAAGCTATATAAAAAATACATTTGATTTTGTGAATCATTCAATATATATCTCATAAAATAATTTATGACCTCCTCAAATAAAATTTTCTAGTTTCGCCAGTGATCATATCTCAAACAATTATCTGATTTATGTCCCCTTTTAAGAGATGTACAACGCAAAAGCTTCTAGGTCTTTGAAACCCTAGCATCCAATTACACCTTTCATTTTCGATTATCACTGACTTAGGAGCCAAATTATTTGATGGGATCCTCTGTCGAACCAAATATCATTACATTCATAAACACCATAGTTCACCATCCTATCTAAGTTCACCACCTCGTACTTGAACCTCATTGGTTTTTGTAAGATTATTTGAGATGTGTATGTTTATCAAACGTTACAACCATAATAAACAAACATAATGATGAACAAAAGAAAAATAATTGCGGCACAATAAAAGAATATGTCACACCGATCTCTGGCTAGCGAGATCTTCAAAATTACCCATAAGCTAAAGCGCGAACTCACGTCATCTTCATCGAAGGAACGACAATTTCCACATCTCTTCCTCCGACAATCACAACTTTCACGTCATATACTTTTCATATTGAAGGCATACAACTGTTGACGATCTCTTTCCCCATCTAAGGAATTCCATCACCGCATATGAAATCATGGGTAATGGCAACAAGCTACCTTATTCAATCTCGTCAGCCCATGTTACCGATGAAGAGACAAATATATATTGTTGAGAGGTCTGTTAGTTGTGGTTCAGAGAAAGTCAACAACCCTCGAGGTACAAAACTAATGGCTCTTGAGGATTGAAACGATTTATCAAGACCACCAAGCCTTAACCTCAAAGGTAACATATTGTGATAAAGACGGGGAATTTATCTGAGTTCAAGGCGAGGATCCATGTTTGTAGAGAGCATCAACATCATGGCATTGAAATTTTTTAATACGATATTTTGTTAGGAGATGTAATTCATTGTTTTAGTAGGAAAGTTGTATTCGACATAGTTGTACTCAACCTAGTCGAAGTAATTGTAGACAACATAGTCGAAGTAAGGTAGGTAGGATTTAGTTGTATTTGACGGTGTTGAATATAATATTTAGTTGTCAAAGTGTAAGTATGTATTCGACGGAGTCGAATAGTTTTTAGCTATATTTTCGACACTAATAAGAGATTAAGATATCAAGAAAGGTTGAAAGAGTACTTGGAGAAATTAAGCTGAATTCATGACATTTTCGACTAGAAAATCTTGGTAAATATTTCGACAAACATTGGGTAAAGAGATTTTGTTTCTTCAGCTTGACACTGTTTTGGGATTTAGAATATTTTGGACTTAGTATGATGGAAATTTCGACGGAGTAATTTGAAATAAGGCCAGTTAGCCGTTTTTGGCCTTGTCCATTCTTGAAGGAAGCGTGAAAGCTTATGAATGGAGAAATACACGCAAGCGAGAATGTGTCATTCTCTGAAGAGGAGATCGTTCGTTACAGTTATTTCGATTTAGTATAAATAGGGGTTAGAGTATCAGGATTCAGTGTGTCCAATTTGTATAAAAACTCACATTACTCAAAGTATATAAGTGTATTGAGAAAACAGTCGTTGAGTGAAATGTGTAAAATCAAGCTTCTCAAATAAGCTTTTGTTTTGATGAAGACAAACCATGACTAACAAAGAAGGCAAAGACTTTGGTCAAGCATCTAAGCATCCCAGGATAATATCTTCAATCAAAGCTCTCAACAACTTTAAAAGTATAATAATATTATCTACTTTGATCTTAAGATATAAATGCTCAAAAATGAAAAAGAAATGTTTAAAAATCATTCTCAAGCCTTTCAAAGATTAATTTTCATTTTTCATATGCATGCAATCGATTACATAGTTTGCACAATCGATTGCACACTTAAAATTTTCAAAATAATTGATTCTGTCTTAGCATGCAATCGATTATATAGTTGGTGCAATCGATTGCACTCAGTTAAATTTTGCTACTGACTTTGTATGCAATCAATTACATTGTTAATGCAATCGATTGCACTCTTAAAATTTTGAAAATATAGTTGTTGAAAACCTTGTGCAATCGATTACACTAAAGGTGCAATTGATTACACACTGCACGAATTTGAAAAATAACAGCTTTGTTCATGCCTTTTGATCATGCCTTTTCATTACATCTTTTCACTCAAACTTGGCATTTGTTCATGATACATTTCCAGATCTTCATGATGTTCCAAAAGGGTGTTATGAACATATAAATATTCAATTTCAAATTCATATCTAACACCTTCTTTCATAATATTTTTCTGAACTTTAAAAATACAAACTCAAGCATTCTTCATTTTCATGCATAAGTTTTCTGCATTTATTTTCATACTTTAAAACATAAAACTTTGAGAAAATATATCTTGAGTCTTTGTACAATATTATTATTGAAAAAAGAATATTATACATTTTCAAAATCACTCTTAAGTGATCAATATACTCTACTCACTCAAACTCACAAATTGATATTTACTTACTTATTTCCAGGATTGTTGGAATTAAGTTTAAGTGTTTTTGTTGAAATCTTGTCTTTCCAAGTTGTTGGATACAAGTGTAGTTACATTGAGAGGATTGTTCTCATAGGTAACTTAGTGAAAATCCAAGAGGATTGTTCTTTGTCCAAGAGGATTGTTCTTGGTGGTTTTATTGGTTAGAGTCTTGTATAGAAGGACTAGGGTGTCTTGTCTTGAGATCTAACAATAAGGAAATCTCTTTCATGTTGAAAGGGGACTGGAGTACTCTCGAACTGTGAGGGGAACCAGGATACATCTTTGTGTTCTTTACTTTTCCGCATTTACCACTTTCATCACTAATCATAAACCATAAAAGAAAGAAACACAATTGTAAACTCATGCACTAAACCAGAAAAATAATATCCATCTCACTAAAACGACAAAACTATTAAAGTACCTAATTCACCCCCCCCCCCCTCTTAGGCGCACTCTCATACTTATAAAATGTACGTATGAATCACCATATCTTTTTCATTCAATATTAAGTCATTTACATTAATGTTATTTTCTTGCACTTTAAGTTTCAATCGAAGTCATTTTACATTCTTTTACATTTTATAAATCTTTCATGCATTACTTTAAAAATTCACATTAGTCTCGAAGTCCTTATTATCAAGAAAACTTAAGAAACCTATTCACATATGTCCTAAGATCAATCTAGTCAATCCTTCAAGTAACCAAAATATCATTTTTGGAGGACTAACAGTTGTTTACCAAAATCGACGATAAACAAATTGGCACGCCGAGTGGGATGTTTGTGCTTAGTTATTTTATTTTTTTGTTGCATTAGTTATTCATACATAAAATATTTGATGCATGAGATTGAGAAGTGGTAGGATGACCAAAAATATTAAAACTTTACGAAAAAGGAAATGCGCTAGGAGAATGGTTAACCCACTAAATAATAATGGAGAGCAACCCTCACATACGACAGGGAAAAGCACAACATCAGTGATTGTGATTGAAGTGATACCCTCTAAGATGAGTACGTCGACTATACCATCAAGTACGTAGAGTGGACCAATATTATCCCCAATAAGAACACATGGTCACCCAGTGACTCCAAGACTAGTGGTGTCGAGTGGTTTCAGGTTCTATGGGCCTTGGTTCATAATGCATATGAATGGTTGTGAACAACCATGCAGTATGCTAACATCGGTGATGTCAAGTTTGCATATTAGTGCATCAACATTTGCTGACCCAGTAATGACTATGTATCACTATTGCAAGGGTCGAGATCGGCTGTTAACAATCTTGGTCAAAATACCCATCCCCTGGGAATAGGATTTTCTACCCAGCCAATACTTACTTTTACCACAAGTTCTATGGCAGTATTGAGACAACAAATGGACGAAAGCAACAATGAAATGGTTAATATGCTCACCCAACAAATGGCTGTGATATTTGAGCCTTTAATTCAATATACTAACCAAACCAATCAGCATAACACCCAAACTAATCAATAATTGGCAGCATAAATGATGTGAATTGCAGATTTCTTTGACGCACCATAGGCGCCAGTTCTACCTGTCGCTCAACCACGGCCAGCATGGCTTATGGAAAACCAAGGAGCGATTTTAGAAGAATGTACTATTAATCGAGCCCAACATGCCGCACCCAACATATCAAAGTTAACCAGGAACAATGGGTCAAACCCTGCACAGTCGATTAGCCAATGCCTAGGGAGGTCGAACGTCTCAGGGTTGTTCTAATCAATTGTAACCAATATGCTGATGAGGTGGTTCACCGAGTTCGACGGGAATGTTTAGTAGGAGAGAATAATTTGGTTGCCATGGTCGAAAGAATAATGGAACAAAATATGGTAAATATAGGCCTTCTAAGGAAAAACTACACTTCCACATTTTATGAATATGTCTTACATACTGAACTGCTTAGGGATGGAAATTCTCAAAATTCACAAAGTTTTCTGGCGACACTAGCGAGTCCATTGTCGAGCCCATA